AAAAAAAAAAAAAAAAAAAAACACACCATTTGATAAACACAGTAAAATTAATTTAGGCACCATCAAAGGATATTAAACTAGTGAGTGTGATGAAGAAAATAATATCTATCCTTAAAGTAACTCCCACAAAACATCTATAATTAAAAAAAAAATGGTAACTTTACAGTAGATAAAACTGAAAGACATCACCTCAAGTTAATATCACCAATCTTGGGATAAGCAGACATCCTGTGCCTGAGAAGGAAACATCACTTTTGTAGTACTCCTGCCAAAATATAAACTTACTCTAATCATGTGAATATGCACAAATCCCAAATTAAGAAATATTCTACAAAATAACTAGGCTGTACTCTACAAAAACTCAAGGTTACAACTGACAAAGAAAGACTAAATAACTGTGCTAAATTAAAGGAATCTGAAGAGACACGACAACTAATTGCAATGTGTAATACCAGATTTGACTCCAGAATAAAATTATTTAAAAAAAAAAGATATCATTGAGATCATTAGCATTTATTTTAAATCTGTAGATCAGATATTAGTATTATGTGAATGAAAACTTCCTGCTTTTGATAATTACATTGTGGTTATAAAAGAGAATGTCTTCTTCTTAGGAAATATACATTGAAGTATTTAAGAGTAAAGGGACATCATGTCTTAAATGTGCCCTCCAATTCCTTGATAAAAATAATAATATAAATATATAGGAAGAAAAACTGATAAAGCAAATGTGATAAAATGTTAACTGCAGAATCTGAGCAAGTTATATGGTAATTCTCTGGATTATTCTTGTAACTTTTCTATCAGTCTGAAAATACTTCAAAATTTAATTTTTTTTTTTAAAGAAAAGTAATGGGGCACCTGGGTGGCTCAGTTGATTGAGCATTAAACACTTGATTTGGGGTCAGTCATGATCCCACAGTCATGGGATTGAGCCCCATGTCAGGCTCCACACTGAGCATGGGAACTGCTTAACATTCTCTCTCTCTCTCCCTCCGCCCTTCTCTACCCACCCCCAAATAAAAAATTTTAAAAAGTACTAACTGAGAACAATAAATGAATTAGATCCACATGGTTAATAACATTAAGTCAAAAAACAAGCAGCCTACATACCAGATGATACCATTTAAATTTTTTTTTCAACGTTTATTTATTTTTGGGACAGAGAGAGACAGAGCATGAACGGGGGAGGGGCAGAGAGAGAGGGAGACACAGAATCGGAAACAGGCTCCAGGCTCCGAGCCATCAGCCCAGAGCCCGACGCGGGGCTCAAACTCACGGACCGCGAGATAGTGACCTGGCTGAAGTCGGACGCCTAACCGACTGCGCCACCCAGGCGCCCCTAAAATTTTTAAATCACACAATATATATTGTTATTCATGTATGTAATATAGATTCAGTGTTTACTTTGGCAAAGGAAAAAGAATGGAAGGAGGGAAACTGGGTAATTATGTTTAATGTTACTATGTTATATGTGATGGTGGGTCCATGAGTATCTGTTATTTTTGTTTACTTCATTTTAGTTTCAGTAAAATTAACATACAGTGTTATATTAGTTTCAGGTGTACAGTGACTCCACAATTCCATACATCACCCACTGTTCATCATGGCAAGTGCACTCCTTTTTTTTTTTTTAATTTTTTTTAACATTTATTTATTTTTGAGACACAGAGAGAGACAGAACACGAGAAGGGGAGGGACAGAGAGAGAGGGAGACACAGAATCCGAAG